TCAGTTGCCTCTTGCACACCCTCCATCGGGGATGTGCCCGCAACCAAGGTACATGCCTTTGCCCGGAATTGAACCCGGGACCTTTCAGTCCGCAGGCCGACGCTCTATCCACTGAGTCAAACCAGTCCCAGCCATAAGAAAACTTTTGACTAAGAAGCTGTGGGACTCAAGATACTTATTTCTAACTACTTCAAAACCTGGAAAAAGTCCCTTCCCCTCCCCTTACAAGCAGCTAAAATAAAAGTGAGGGCTTTTACATCTGTGCCCAAGGCAATGTCTCAGATACAGGGTTCCCGTCTTCTGGCCACTGCCATGCTCCCCAAAGGAGGAAAGGTCTTGGGAGAGCTGGGCCCGTCCAAAGTCACAGGATGAGTGAGTGGTGTGGCTGCCCCAGGGGTGGAGGACCAGAGCAGGAAGCAGCTGAGGTGGTCCAGAACACCTGGTGGTGTGCAGTCCACAGGACTTCTATCACCTTATGTGTGAAGACTGGCAACTTCCTGTAATTCACTCCCAACCTGGTAGTGTCCGTACATGCTGGGAAAGTCAAATAACTTCCTCGGGGATCAATTCAGTTTGAGAATGGCTTCCCACCTTGCCAATGTTTCTGTTCAAGCAGAGAGAATACTCAGGAGAGGCAGGTTTTAGTTCTGGTTCTGCCAGGTACTGTGTAACTGGATTCTAATACTAGTAAGTTGTCAAAGGGAGATAATAAGACCTGAACCGCATACGTCAAAGGGTAAATGTGAGGAGGGAATCAAATAACGGGTGGAAAAGCAATTTGAAAGGTTAAAAGCACTATACAAATGTAAGATAGCAATGGTAATGCTAAAGGGCAAAGAGACTCCACTGAGAAAGTCTGCCATCCTTTCTTTATATCCCAGTCATTTCATGTCACCATTACCTATTAGGTACCTGCAATGTACAAGGTAGTATGTGAACACAAACTTGGAATTGTAGATCCTGCCCTGACGAGGTTTATGGGTGAGAGGTGCCCACCTGTAGATGTGGAAGAATGAGGAAGTCATACAGGAGTACTGAGGAAGTACAGGGGAAAGTAGTTGGGGGAGGGACAGGTAGACAGGAGGGGGGAGAACAATCAGTCCTCAGTCTTGGAAGTCACTTTCTCCAATCAGTCAATTTAATGATGGCATTCTTAGAGGCTCTGCATTTCAGGAAGTGGCTTGTAGGTTTTCCACATTTTTTTTTTTTGTTGTTGTGTGTGTTTTTAAATATATTTTATTGTTTTTTTACAGAGAGGAAGGGAGAGGAATAGAAAACTAGAAACATCATGAGAGAGAAACATCGACCAGGTGCCTCCCACACACACCCCCACCAGGGATGTGCCTGCAACCAATGTACATGCCCCTGACCGGAATCAAACCCAGGACCCTTCAGTCTGCAGGCTGATGCTCTATCCACTAAGCCAAATCGGGTTCAGCAGTTTTCCATATTTTTATTTTACAATTTTTCCTGAACTAAGGCAGATCAGTAAATGGGGGTAAAATCCTCATTCATACATTCAATACATATTTACTAACTGTTGGGAACAGAGCTACGGAGATTGTAGTAGCCCAAGGGGCAGTCCCTGTTTTTAACAGCTCACAGACTAGTGGGTTTCCTGATAAGTGAACTAGCAATTCAGTACAGATGCTAATGAGGATCAGAGGAGGGGCACACAGCCCAGCTTGGCAGGGTGTGGAGGGCCATTCAGGAAAGACCCTCAACAGAGGGGGTGAAGCCTGCCCTGTCTCTTGAAGGACGAGTAGACATGGTCCAGTGGACAGTGGATGTGGAGGTGGGGAGTAAAGGCATTTTGGGCAGAGGGAACGGCTCATACAGAGGAACAGAAGCAAGAGGGACCAGGAAAAGGCTGGACACAGAACTAAAGAGAGAAAGCCACATCCAGAAGGGCCTTGTAAGCCATGGCCCTAAGTTGGGCCTTAGCCAGAAGATGATGGGGAAGGAATAAGGGATGAGAACAAGAGAGAAGAGAGGAGAAATGAGAGAGAGAATGGATCACATGAAATACCAATATTTGGCAGAGAGAGGTAGAAGAGCCCAGAAGAGTTAGAAAATAAACCATGACTGCATAGTCTACAGAATTTTCAAGAGACCTGGGTGTCAAAGTGTCAGTTGGGATTATGAACTGCATGTTATAGCTGGAGAAAACAAGGCACAGGAAGGTCAAATGCCTGACCAGGCCACACTGTGAATGAGGGAACCAGAACTTGAACTCAGCATTCAAGCTCCTAGCTAAACTTAGCTGCACTCGCTCTAATTTCCTTCATTCAGAGTCAAACTCCTGGGCCTCTAGGTATAGAAGATTTCATCCCGTAGTCATTTCCTTGTCATTTAAGCCTAAAATCATCAAGGTCTGTGGTTCCAGGGAAGACTACAATCCCTGGAGTCAGCTACACCAGATTAAGGTCACCCTTCTTAACTCTACTTATTTCGTCTTCCATACCATAATAAAGTCACACACACACACACAGGAGGACACGGAGGGGAGGTGAGAAGCACTGGCTTGTATCAGTAATCTGAGATGTGACCATCAAATGCCTTCTTCCTAGCAGGGCACACCCCCTCGGGACACCTCGGTGAACGGGTGAAATGACTGGTTGGGTAGATGGTGCAGGAGGGGGCAGGTACCCACTAAACAAACATGGCGTGGGTAGGCTGCAGGCACAGAGGAAGCAGAGAACAAAGACCTCTCCCTCTTCATGCAAAGTCCACAGTATGCAAAGGGCATAAATATTGGACATTTCTCACTGTGACATTTTGAAAGCCCAGAACAATGGTTACCCTCTTGGGACCAGGGGCTGCGTGTCCCTAGGCCTTATTCAATGATAGCTGGCATAGCCCATGTGCTTGGTGAACTTGACCTTGGGCATCCAACTCCCAGGGTGGCTCTACGTCACTCTGGTCTCTTCCCCCACTGAGAATTCCAGGCTCGGATGAATGGGTGGATTGATTCTGAGAGCAGAAAAGCCACTCCTGGAGTGAATCAGAAGGAGCCAGCCCCAGTTCCCTTGCCAGCCATTGAGCCGGGAACTGAGTGCAATTGTGTGCCCAGGCGTCGGTGCTGCTCCCCTCGCAGGGAGAGGGGGTCAGGGACCACGCAAGAGCTGACGTAGAAGGCCTCTAAGGAGGAAGAGAAAGGAATCTCAGCTTTGAGGGACAAAGCTGCCCTTTCGGTTGTGACCCTCAGTCCAAGGAGGTGCCAAGATGTGCATGTTCTGGTAATTAATTCAACGGGATAAAAATCTCAGCTTTTGCTAGACAGCCAGTTGTCAATTTCAATTCTCTCCAACCTGACAGACTTTAGGAAATGGGCAACTCATTTTTGCAGGAAAAAAACTTCTGTGAGACAGGTGGAAACAGTGTGCCTCGATCACCCAGAGAATCCTTTCCCTTCAGTGGTCTCTGTTCGACTCTTCTGATTTATGAAGAAAAGATGGATTCGTTTTGTAAAAATTGCAAACGCCAATTTAAGCAACAGGATGCACCTGTACTTTCTGCTTTTTACCTTGAAGAATTAGGTGGGAGAACCAAAATTTCAAGATGCAGCAGTAAGGGGACATCTATATCACAAGGTCAGGGGACCCAGACCGGTGCTTTAAGGAAGTAATTCCTCTAGGAAAGGGAACTGAAGGACTGCCACTTTCCCGTCACTAACGAGGTTTTCCCGTCACTAACGAGGTTATAACAAGACCGGAAAGTTAGCTTTTTAAGGTCCCAGCCGCCTATTGGCCTCTTGGAGCAAAGATGGAGGGAAAGGAGCAGCTCCTGCTGGGGCTTATTAGGGCATTGCTCCGGGCATCCCTCCTTTTGCTGGTGACTACTGTCTGGCATTTGTCCATCAATCTTCCTCTAAGAAGCATGAGGGGGTAGGGAGGAGAGAGAGGGGACAGACCTTTAAATTTTACATTAGAGAGTAATCCTTGACATGGACTAACATCAGCTGCTTGTGACCAGAGCTTAGTCTCCACTGATGGCCTGCAGGAGCCTTCCCGAAGTATATTCTGCCATCTTCGTTCACTATAACTAGTTATGAAGCACATACTTGGCATAAATAAATAGGCTGCGCTCTGAGGACAGAGTGGCAAACGTCCCTTACACTAATGAAACGTGGATTCCAAAAGAGTTGCTTCATCTTGGACCCTCTCTGGGGTCCATGGACTCAGACATGCACACTTAGGACCCCCGAGGTTTGGGGTGGTGGACATACAGGTTTTGGCCTGCAGCTAAGGTCCTTTGGGCAAACTGAGTCTTTAAACAAAATAAACCAACCAGTAAACATTGTGAAGTGTCTACTATGGCCGGGTATCATAGAGTCCTGCAGCAACGTCCTTTTTCTAGCTGCGGAGTTGTGACTCTTACTACTCTGAGTCTCCCTGGCTTTTTTTCTCGCGGCCTGACCCTTCCGTGATGGCTAAGTGACCTAGGTCTATTTTGGACGGAAAGCAATGAGTGGGTAATGGCCCTGGAAATGATTAAAACCAATCCAACCATACTGTGGGAGGGTGGGTGTGGGTGTTTAATTCTGGTCCTTCCAAAAGAGAAGCGAGTTTTGTCTTATAAAGACTGTTCCACGGTGCAAAGGCGGAAAGCAAGTGGGTTTCCATCCATGAGTGGAGCCCAGATTGCCAGAGGGATGGCCACCGCTCTGATGGGTGCCCACAGGGAGGTAGAAGGCACAGCACGCCAACGGGTGTTTGAGAGAGAAGGGACCAAGGCAGTCCCTCACTTCCAGCCGCCGGGAGAAGACGGGGCCGGCTCCTAGGAACACGAAGGGCCGGGAAACGAGTCAGACGCGGGACCCCGGCCCCATCGCCCGGTAAGTCCTGCAGAGAGAGGCGAGACCCCGGGGAAGGCCCCTCCGACGACCCTGGAACCGGGGCCAGTTGGGGGGCCCCGCTCCGGGCGCAGGGTCCCGGGGGCGGCGCGGCGAGGAGCGTCGCGGCCCGGGCTCCGCGGCCCTGCCGCGGGGCCTCACTCACCAGCTCATGGTCTCGAACCTGGCCCCGCCGCCCGGGTCCGCCGCCGCCGCCGCCACTCGGTCCTCGGGGATCACTTCCGGATTCAGCCAGTCTCCAGGAAGTGACGCGAGCCCCGCCCCCTCTACCCGGAAGAGGCGGCTGAGGGGGCGGGGCCTCCGCTTTAACCCCGCCGCCGCCGCCGCCGCCGGTGCCGGCTCCGGAGAGCGGTGTCCTGGCGAGAGGGCCCGGGGTCCTCCGACTCAGCCTGCGGCGGGGGCGTGGGGACCCCTGGGCGTGTTTCTGCCTTCAACACTGACTTGTAAATTCTCCTCCGAGGACCACACCCGTCGCTTATCCGGGTTATTGCTTAGTCTTCTATCTGCAAAGAGGTTTCTAACCCGGAGACAGTAGAGGGATTGTTTAGTGGGGGAAGGAGCCCATGGGGAGGGAGTCTGGGGAAGCCTGATATTCATTGTAGGGTCTTTTGTCTCTTTTAAATGTTGCACCTTCTACGTGCCTGTTTACAAACAAACAGAGTGCCCCTTTGCCCGCCTTCAAGATGTCACAGGGCTGGCTCTGAGTGCAAAGAGAATAGGTCCTTTCGGGTGGGAATGCTCAGTGGACTTACCCAACACAGGGGTCAAAGGGGAAGGGTGGCTCCCTGACTTCTAGCCCTTCCCCCTGGGTCCCGTCCACAGGACCCAAACGAAGTGATGGTTCTGTTCTTTCTACTCATTCACTGAACAGCTATTCATTGAGCTGCAGTGTGCCAGGCACTGGGCCAATCTCAAGGACACATTCATGAAAAAGAAGTATGGATCCTGCCCTTAAGCCCTCTCAGACCTACTTACCTGCAGGGAGAGATAAACAGGCAACTAAGTAAGAATAGATGATGGGAAAGAACCGAGGCCTGGCAGCCCTTAAGGCTCCCCTCCCTAAACTGCCCATGGGGTTTTAATGAAAGTTCCCAGGAGGAGCCACTGTGTAAGCCAATATGAAAGGGGATCACACTAGCCAGGAGAATCTGCGTGAGGGCAAGAATCCCCTTGCCTTAGAAGCGAGAGGAGCTAGAAGCGAGAGGAGCAGGCAGCGAGGCCTGTGCTGATAACTGCTGTACCTGCAGGGGCCTTCTCTCTGGGAAGTCTCCCCCTTCAAATGGACTGTGTTTTAGGGGGGCTTGGAGAGTGGCTAAGCCAATGAGTTAGAGCAGAGGACATGGATACTTTGTTCTGACCTCCCAGGCAGGGTAGAAGGCTTGGCCAGGAGGAGGAGGGGAGCTTCGAGGACTGTCAGAGGAGATAGTCTCTCGTTTATGATTTCTGTTTCCATTCTTGAGGGTCTAGAGTTTGACAGAGTAAAGGCTTTCCATTAGAGGGTGGGCCTCCAAGTACCACACAGATTAGCTTCACGACTGTTATTCCTCAGAAAACAGGCCAAAACGAGCACCAGAGTGAGAAGTCACTGAAGGGCAGCCAGGGCCGAGGGTGTAGGCAAAGGGAGGGCAGTTCTTGCTGCTTTGCACAGGGTGTGATGGATGGGGGCTGAGGGTTCTTGGGGATGAGGAGGCCCCAGAATCCTAGATACCTTTTCATTTTCTTTTTCAATCCTCGCCCGAGGGTATTTTTTCCCCCATGGATGTTTAGAAAGCCTGAAAGAGAGGGAAAGGGGCCAGGGAGAGAGAGAAACATCCAGGTGAGAGAGACACATCAATTGGTTGCTTCCCATATGTGCCCCAACTGGGGCTGGGGATTGAACCTGCAGCTGAAGTGTATGCCCTTGACCAGGAACCCACAACCCTTCAGTTCTTAACTTGACGCTCTCTAACCACTGAGTCAAACATACCAGGGCAGTTTTGTGTGTAGTTGTGTGTGTGTGTGTGTGTGTGTGTGTGTGTGTGTGTGTGTTATATATGAAAGCACCAGGGTTTGGAAGCAACTGGGGCAGACCCTCCAAACACGGGAAATGCTTTCAGCAGTTCTCTCCCCGCACTGTCAATGACCAGCCACAGGCAGCCTACAATCACTTGCAAATGCAGGTGTGGTGTGTTTTGATGAGCCTCCTGGCACTTGAGCACCTGCGGAGGGCTCTCCCAACTGCTTCTTCCTGCCTCCATACTCTGTCTCCCTTCATTGTTGCCCAGTAATGCTAAAGCATTTCCCAAAGTATTAGCTTAGGCAGCCTCCATATCCCAGGGAAAGTCTGTCTCAGGGCTGGGGATGGGGGGCGGCACTAGCAGACTCTCCCAGGGCAAGAATGATGAATTCTAGACTAAGAATCCAGAGGCTCCTGGGCTCCAGTCCCATCTTTGGTACTATGACTGACCTAGACAAGTCACATTCCTCTCGGTCTTCCTCGGTCCTCTCATCTGGGTGGATAATGCCACAGAAGTTGGGAAATTTTGATGTTCCAAATCAACTGTCTTGTTGACTTCAAAGGCCATTGAGAAATAAGAGAATGGAGGGAACCTGTGAGGTGGAGCCTGAACGGAGAGCTAAGCCAAGAGCAGATCTGAGAAGTCCGTGATTGCTAGGGATGTAGTGAAACATATACCTTCCGGGAGGGAAGGATTCAGCCTGAGGCCCAGCTGGGGCTGTGCTTCTAACCTCTGACCCTGAATCTTCACTGTAGCCAGCAGAACCTCTGAGGTACTAGAAGAATGCTGGCCTCTAGGAGTCTGTCTCGGAAGTGTCTGCTTTGAGCTGAGCTCCATCTCCTTATCTGAGGCCCATTTGTCCAGCTTGAGGTGTGCTGGGCTGGGTGGATGGTCAGGTATCCCACTGTCCTGTGGACCCACAGTTTCCATCCGTGAGCATGCCATGCCATGCAGCAATTGATGCTGGAGAGGTAACCACAAGGACCACAAGCACCTCCCACTTTCTTGCAAAACTCAGCTGCAGGGTCTCCAGACTCAGGCTTGGAAGCTGTCTTTCTTTTTCTTTTTTTTTTGGAACCAGAGGACAGCACCATACAAGTTGATCTGCCCCTTCAGGGGAGGGGAAAGGGATCGAATATGGTTTCTAAGTGGAAGTAAGAGTGGAGGAGCTTTGGGTAGAGGTGGATGCTCCTATTTTCAGGCCTGGTGAACACAGCTTTCTCCCTAGAACCTGAACCTGCAGTTGAAGAGGGTTCAGGGGGTAGAGATCTCCTTCAGGGAACACAGCTGTTCCAGGGGGGAAGCAGCTGATGAACCAACTCTTCCACCAGACCACAGACCTCTACTTGGGAGATTTCCACGCAGAGATTTGTAAGCAGGGGTTCCCCACTGCCCTCATCTCAGAGCTGGCGATATGTGCTCCCCTGCAGCCCTCCCCACACAGAGGCCGACCCTCTGATTCTTTCACCATGCCAACCCCTAATCAGCTAAGAGCAAGGATTCCAGGAGTGGGGCTGGGGCTTTCGGGGCTTCATTAGAGCATGAGGGCTGAGACCAAAGGGACTGAATGTGAAGGGGCCAAATCGATAGGCTGAGCTCCCTTTGCAGCCCTACAGGCCTCTGCCTCAGGGAGGCTCTTGCAGCATTAAACGAAGAGCTAGACCCTCAGGTTTTTATGTGGATTCATTCCCCACTTCTCTCTGCTCTACACCTGCTCTGCAGGCTGTCTCAGAACAGCAGGCTCCTGGGCAGCCATGGCCAAGGACATGGGAGAGGAGCAAGGGTGGGAGAAGATGGATGATATCAGAGTTAGACTTTCCAGTGGTGGGAAGCCCACAGTGATGGCTCAAAGGCCAGGGTAGAGGGGCAAGTCAGAAGCTGAGGGGGCAAGCAGCAATCTGGGCCAGGAATAGCTGTCTGGACTCTGGCTCTGCCTTCAAGTAGCTTGTGGGAGTCTCTTCCCTCCTTGGGCCTCATCCTCCCTGACTGTAATAGAGTCTGGGTTAGATCCATGTGCCAATTCAGATCGGTTGTTACTGGCTGTCTGGAGCACCATGTTGAGGAGTCTGAGGGATCTGCCATTGTTGGGGAAGTACTGTGATCGATTAGCAATGTCTGCCTTGGATAAGTTAAAGGGGCTGCGATGCTATACATTCCACTTCAGTATTTCATTGTTTTTATCACGAGTTAATAATTGAGCACTTACAGAGTGCCAGGCACTTTTCTAAGTAGTTCACATTTAATATTTGCAACAACTCTATGAGGCTGGTACTATTATTATTATCAGTGTGGAGAAGCTGAAACATGGCCAGTAAATGGTGGAATGGAGAATCCAACCTTCTCTTGTTGATGATTCCCGAGGTTCGATGGAGCCAGCGGAAACCCAGCACTGGGTGGCTTGGCTGTGGGTGGAGGGAAGGCCAGCACATGACCAGGCACCTAGTAACAAGGATTGCAATGCTGGGCCTCATCCTGGGAACTTTTGTATGCTTCCTCCGGTTTGAAGATCTCAGGACCAGCAGGTGGCAGCACCTGGCAGGGTGAGAGAAAAGGGCAGATCCTGACTTGGCACGAGGTCCTTCAGAGATGGGGCAGCCCAGGTGTGGAGGAAAGCAAGAACAAATGAGGGTGTGGAAGAAGGCCACCCAAGGGTCCAAGGAGGAGGGCCCTTGCCTGAGATCCACAGGGAGCTGCCACGGCCCTGCTTTAGTTCCACTGTCAGCATGAGCCTCTCAGCTTGCATTTCATGATGCCTGCTGTGGGGTGGTTTTTTTTTTTTTTTTTTTTTTTTTTTTTTTTTTTTTTTTTTTTTTTTTTTTCCTCCACTCTGGGAGAATGACTAACTTTAAGGACTAAAAAAAAAAGTGTTTTGATTACACTGCCTTTTTACCAACTGGGAGCATTAGTCACCGTGGATTGCTGCAGATAACGGGGAAGGCAAGCAGCATCCCCCTCCTCCCCCTCCTTCTCCCTGATTAGCTCACAGAAGCCAGGGAAGAGATGCCTGGGAGAGAGAGTGCTCCCAGGAGGGAAAACAATTTCCTTTGGACGACATGTGTCCCAGGCATCCATCCAGGGCTGCTTGGTCAAGGCTGGGGCAGGCCCCCTGACAGCTTGGCCCCAATAGGAGGCGCTCACTGGAAAGAGGATTGACAG